TATTCTCCTAATTTCAAATTTAGAAATGGTTTTGATTGGATCCTCGAGTTTATAATAGGTAACCATTATATGGAATTGACATTTAGGAATACTTGCCTTGTGCGCCAACGCTGCACGCGCACAACACCAGTGTCAGCAGGGCAACAGGCAGAGGCAGCATGATTGAAAACTGGAAGCAATGCATTCTGTGTCAGTAGATATATTTTCGAAAACATGCTTATAAATTTCCAAAAGTATTAAACAAGCAATGTGTAACGAGTTACTGTAATGTTCATCAGACCTTACCTTAAGGAGTGCTTCCTTTCCGTATCATTCAGAGACTACCAACTGAAACTCATGGAGGACACGGAACATTTATGCATTCAAATATGTATTAAAAAAGGTTTCTGGGCGTGTAACATCACAGCAATATGGTGATGTTCAATAACGTATGTGAAGATAAGGATTATAGTTTCAAGACAATAATTCTTGATGCCCATAAATTTTGTGCATACGCCCCCTCTTAAATTAAACAGTGGTAAACCACACTAACGGTATTGTTGATAGTATGATTAAAATCAATGTATTTTATTACCTTCAAGTTGATTTAAACAAATCAACTTGAAGGTAATAAAATATGTTATCATATGTTGTCATTTTGGAGAATCCATTTTATAATTAGGCATATGTTTCCAGCAAAACTTGAGGTAAATAATATATTTCTGTGTTCTGCATATGCATTGATAATGAGAAGTTCTATGGCCAGTTTCATTTAGATGCAACAATTAACATTCATCCAAGCACTTTTGATAACGCCAATACCTTCTATATATCTATAGTTTATCAAGAAAGTCTTCATGCTGTATATCTGGTAGAAAATTAAGAAGCCCTGCTCACATCTGACCTGTTTTTTTTCTATTTCATGATCGTACGTTCAATTGACGTAAGCTCAAGTCAAGTCAAGTCAAGTCAAGTCAACCCAACCCAACCCAACCCAACCCAACCCAACTCAAAACAAACACCCAAACCCATTCAACCAACCTACCCAACCACAAACTCACTCTCCAACCGACTCACTCACTAACTCACTTGGTAAGCCACTTACTCGTTTTTAAACTCTTTACAGCGAAAATCATTCATTTGCTTGTTTCACCACGTGTCATAGTGTAACTGTTTATTCCTTTAATCACTTAAGGCTTAATAAGAACAAATATATCAGACAATTTGTCAAGGAGTTGCCAAGCCGAACCAGGTGGATCTGGCAGTAAACCAATAAACCAATTGGTATTTAGTGCAAATCAAGCTTAAGACGATTAGTGACTAACACCTCTCTCGCCACACCCAATGGTGATGAAAGCCAACTGCAGTTCTTTCATGCACTGGGTGCACCTAAGTGTTCTCTACCTCACAGCTGCTGTCTCTTCATGTTCACAATAAATTTGTGTTGGCAGTTACACGTACAAGCTACACGTACATCACGATGTAGGTACACAAGTACATGGTCTTGAAATCTCCACAGGCACTGAAAGTAAGTGTATGAATGTTGAACAGAATAATCAGTAACTGATACCATGGCAACGGTTCAGCAGAACGTAATATGGATATGACTTAATAGGAGGCCTATCTGAACGCTGCTTATTCCACACCGATATTGTCATGCTATTTGTCACAGGTTTTGTTTGTTCACGCATGTCATAACACTGGTACCAGACACGCAGGGCTATTCCATTATGACGTAATCTTCGCGAAAGGTGTCTAAGTGAACTGTTACTTTCGGTCTTCCCACGTTTTTGGTATCGCTCGTTGCTGCTCATGGCCTTGAGGCCCGTGAAGATCCGGGGTAGAATAGGTCTTCAGCAACCCATGCTGGCCGTAAAAGCCGACTAACGGGATCGGATGGTCAGGCTCGCTGACTTGGTTGATGCATGTAATACTATCCCAATTGCATAGATCGATGCTCATGATGTCAATCACTGGATTGTCTCGATTATTTAGAGACTGCCATCATATAGCTGGAATATTTCTGTGTGCGACGTTAAGCAAATTAACAAACAAACAAAACAAAGCTAATGGCCTTGAACCGAACCACTGTACATGCTCATCTTTTCGCCAACACCTGTTATCATTACCAGGTGATAGTGATTCGATAACAAATGCCCATGACAGTGTCGGGATTCTTTTAAGCAGAGTTTCCTTTCATGGTGTCGCATATGGTTTAGATTGCAGTCGAGACGGTCGGGTAACCGAGTGGTTAAAGCGTTCGCTCGTCACGCCAAAGACCCGTGTTCGATTCCTGACATGGTTACAATGTGTGATATCAATTTCTGGTGTCCCCAGCCGTGATGTTGCTGGAATATTTCTAAAAAAGGCAAAATCAAACTCACACACTCACTCACTAGATTTCAGTCCTCGGGATATTACGAACCCGACCCATGTTCAACATGAAGGCAACTTCAATTCCAAAAACAAAGACTACTTTACAAATTAAAAAATGTTCAGTAAGGTTGGAGGAGTGTTTCTTTACAACCCTACTCTTTACAGCATTTTTTTATTATATCATTAGATATTCAGAGTGGCAAAGCACAAGGCTGTGTGACAAATAGATGACTTCAACTTTCCAATTGTCACCTTTCCCTTTATGTCGAGCAAACTTCCTGCAGTTCCAGCCTTTGGTGTTTGCAGTTCACAACTTTTGAGGTCCAATCGAGCTGACTCAAAATTGTTTTATCAATGTTACAACATTTAAGGCCTCAGTTAAATTTTCCAAAGTTTTTCTGGTAGACGTATGGAGGCCATTTCGAGATTTGTCTTATCAGTGACAAACATAGAGTCAGATGGTTTTGCCCTATTGGAATAGCCACCTTTTCGCGATCACCTGGTATTATCACTATTGGTTAGTGATTCATAAACACATGCTCATGATATGGTCGGAATCGTACAATCGACTCTGCTTTTGGCAGATATTTCTTGTGAAAATGGAAAGGGATTTGTCGCTTTTGTTTGCATGTGTTTGTGATGGGTGCGACCGGTGGGGCAGGATACGCTCGCGAACCCCTGGAGTCATAGCTATTTCATAGTGATTTTTAAAACATATTATCATGACTTAGTCGGAATCGTACAATTGTCTCTGAGATTAATTCGACGATAATGGAAATGTTTTTGCGGCTTTTATGTAATGGCAAATACACCAGCACTACACCAGCACTTTCTCACTTTGTGTCTTAACCCAAACCGATGTCATTATCATCAATTATTGAAAGTTTACTTTAGTCCCATGAACAAATCAGTATCCTATTTTGCTGTTACTTGCATTCATTGTTTCATAAAGATTATCAAGCAAGCCAAGTTTTAATTCTTCACCGCATATGACTTTATGACGTCAAACCCATGGTGCAAACTACCAGCCAAACCTCAACTTTTGTGCTGTACTTATAACTTGAAATTCACCCTCGTAGTCAATTTCGGTCGTGTTTCTGCCACACATGCCTCGAATATTGGAGTAGCCGCAACATTTCGAATTACTTTTCTTTGAGTATTAGTTTCCGCGGTGATGCTGCCGTCAAATCAGTCAATTCAATAATTCAATCAGAAGTGGTTATTCTGATTTGACACAAGTGACTGACCAATCAGAAGAGGGTATTTTCCTAAATTAATGGTAGCGTGAAAGAGTGAGTTTGGTTTTACGCAACTTTGAAGGAACCTTCGAAACATAATTAGAAAGGAACTAGATTTCGAATCCACAATCATAAATTCCTGCAACATTGCACAGCGACTTGCGGCGTCCTAGCCCACTGGGCCACCTGTGGTCCATCATAGGATGGAGATATAACACTTGTCACACCTCATGGGCATAGGTTATTATCCTCATGCTTGGTACCATGGTGAAGACAATGCTACCATGACCTTGTCATGACACTATGCCATCTATGATTATGTATTTCATAACCTTTGTATTGGTGAGTCCCAAATTGTGATTATCACAGTTATAAGATGGCTTGCTGCAAAACACAGTCCATCTAAATACAAGCATGGGGCACTGTGAATCTAAGGATAAGCATGGGGTACTGTGAATCTAACGACAAGCATGGGATACTGGGGATCTAAGGATAAGCATGGGGGACTGTGAATCTAACGACAAGCATGGGGAAATGGAGAAGTGTGAGGTACTGGGGGTCTAATGGCAGCAACTGGGTACCAGTGATCTACCGACAGGTATCAGGTCCTGCAGATCTAACGACAAGCGTGGGGGTACTGCGCATCTAACGACAAGCGTTGGGTATTGGGAATTTAACGACAAGCGTGGAGTACTTGGGGTCTAACGATAAGTGAGTGAGTGAGTGAGTATGGCTGTACGCCGCTTTTAGCAATATTCCAGCAGTATCATGTCGGAGGACACCAGAAATGGCCTTCACACATTGTACCCATGTCGGGAATCGAACCCGTGTCTTCGGCGTGACGATCGAACGCCTTAACCACTAGGCTAACCGACCGCGCAGGGTACTGGGGATCCACCAACAAGTGTTGGGTACTGTGCATCTAACGACATGTGTGAGGTACTGGGGATTAAGCGACAAGCGTGGGGTACTGGGGATCTTAAGACATGTGTGGAGTTCTGAGGATCTAACGATAAGCGTGGGGTACTGGGGATCTAAGGATAAGCGTGGGGTACTGGGGATCTAAGGATAAGCGTGGGGTACTGGGGATCTAAGTCTAAGCGTGGGGTACTGGGGATCTAACGACATACGTGGTTTACTGGGGATCCAACGACAATCGTAGATTACTGGGGATCTAACGACAATCGTAGATTACTGGGATCTATCAAGTTTAAGTCAGTCGTTACTTTGATAGTGTACAAACATGTTTTGTTGTTTGACATTGATCCTCGGGTGCAAGGAAAAGTCTCTCGGTCTCATGTGTTAGCTCCATCTTGTGTAAATGCTAGTGTTGAATTGTTGTCCAAAAGCTGGACGTATACAGTTTGCTTCTGACGCCATATGAAAAGCATAAAACTAACAAAAACATTTTGAACATGCCAAATTTATTCTTCATGAAATATTTCTGATGTTGATTAACGTGAAGACTTGCTTCTCCGATGAAGTGATCTAAAAAACATAAAATAAGATTCCATTGTGACATGAAATACATATTGCTGCAACATACCAACGCAGGGACGCCGACCATATTCGGTATCTGTCGGCTTATTCCGTGACCTTCATGATAACCCGGGGGGCAATTGAGTTGCTACATTGCAAGATTTCCCTGAAACTGTATTCCGACCGACAGCGGGACATGGCGACCTTTTTAGAAAGCATTGCTGTTATTAATAGGAATGAATAGAATTTGTCATTGAGGAACAGTGAAACGAGAGTGACGACTGCGGTCGGATTGTGTTGTGTCATGTGACAGCCAAGTGAACATGGGAAATAAAGGGATTAAGGTCTAATAAAGATTACACCCAATGTGCGCCGATATTTCATTGTTGCTTTAGGTAGGCACAGCGAACATTTTCGATGAGACGACACTTGTTGATTTTACGTTAATGTAAAGTTGTAGATTCATGTGGTCTTATAAACCAGGTGTGAGTGAGTGAGTGAATATTGCTTAATGCCGCATCAGAAATCTTGCAGCTATTCGCGGCGATACAAACCAGTCGTGTCGTCTTCACAGGGGTATTGTATCCTCCAAAAAATGTGTTCTCTGGTCTGATTTTCAGGACGTGCCTACCCTTTTCGCGGACACCTGGTGTCATCTCGGCTTTTCACTGTTCCATAAATCGTTTTCACCACTATATTACCTTTTACGCCCAAATGAATCTGTTTCGGCAGATAATCGGGTATGTAGCTTTTCTTCCTTAATTGGATTTTTTACAGCTTGTTATAAAAATAGCTTACTTGATCCACAGTCTTACCACATCTCCATACATGTATAATAAACATAGGGATTTACGTAGCCATGTGTGTGACATTTCCAAATTTGACGTATCAGTACCAATATGACGCAAATACAGTATTTAGACTTCTACCATATCTTCCCATGTTTATTCAGGCGAAGGCCTGGCTTACCAATACATGGGTTTGCGATATAGGTGGAATAGGGTACGCTTAACTTTTTCCGAAACACCTGTTGTCTCCACTATTTGATAGTGATTCATGAACACATGCTCATGATACAGTCGGAATCGTACAATGAAATCTGCTTTAAACAGAGATTTCTGGAATGGGTTTTATCGCTCTTATTAATGTACGTATAGCACATAAAACATCTGAACGTTTGTGTACAACCCTTAACCTGTGTATATGTGACATGGGTAGAGTCCGTGGTGGTTCGGACCCGTGAAGATCCGGGTCTTCAGCAACCCATGCTTGCCGTAAAAGGTGACTATGCTTGTCGTAAAAGGCGACTAACGGGATCGGGTGGCCAGGCTCGCTGACCTGGTTGATGCATGTCATCGATCCCAATTGCGTGGATCGATGCTCATGACATTAATCACTGGATTGTCTGGTCCAGACTCGATTATTTACAGACCGCCGTCATATAGCTGGAATATTTCTGAGTGTTAAACAACAAACAAACAAACCAACCGTGGTAGCTCGATCTGAACGTTGGTGTACTCTCCTTGACCTGTGTGTATGTGACATGGATAGAGAGTCCGTGGTAGCTCGATCTGAACGCTAGTATACTCTCCTTGACCTGTGTGTATGTGACATGGGTAGAGACATGGGACAACCACGGACACTCTACCCATGTCACATACACACAGGTCAAGGAGAGTATACCAACGTTCAGATCGAACCACCACGGACTCTACCCATGTCACATACACACAGGTCAAGGAGAGTACACCAACGTTCAGATCGAACAACCACGGACACTCTACCCATGTCATATACACACAGATCAAGGAGAGTACACCAACGTTCAGATCGAACAACCACGGACACTCTACCCATGTCACATACACACAGATCAAGGAGAGTACACCAACGTTCAGATCGAACAACTACGGACACTCTACCCATGTCACATACACACAGGTCAAGGAGAGTATACTAGCGTTCAGATCGAACAACCACGGACACTCTACCCATGTCACATACACACAGATCAAGGAGAGTACACCAACGTTCAGATCGAACAATCACGGACACTCTACCCATGTCACATACACACAGGTCAAGGAGAGTACACCAACGTTCAGATCGAACCACCACGGACACTCTACCCATGTCACATACACACAAGTCAAGAGAGTTCACCAACGTTCAGATCGAACCACCACGGACACTCTACCCATGTCACATACACACAGATCAAGGAGAGTACACCAACGTTCAGATCGAACAACCACGGACACTCTACCCATGTCACATACACACAGGTCAAGGAGAGTACACCAACGTTCAGATCGAACAACCACGGACACTCTACCCATGTCACATACACACAGGTCAAGGAGAGTACACCAACGTTCAGATTGAACTACCACGGACACTCTACCAATGTCACATATACACAGGTCAAGGAGAGTACACCAACGTTCAGATCGAGCTACCACGGACGCTCTACCCATGTCACATACACACAGGTCAAGGCGAGTACACACACGGTCAGATCGAACAACCACGGACACTCTACCCATGTCACATATATGTCACATATGGGTAGAGTCCGTGGTGGTTCGATCTGAACGTTGGTGTACTCTCCTTGACTTGTGTATATGTGACATGGGTAGAGTCCGTGGTTGTTCGATCTGAACGTTGGTGTACCCTCCTTGACCTGTGTATATGTGACATGGTTAGAGTCCGTGGTGGTTCGGTCTGAACGTTTGTGTACCCTCCTTGACCTGTGTACAATGTATTTGTGACATGGGTAGAGTGTCCGTGGTTGTTCGATCTGAACGTTGGTGTACCCTCCTTGACCTGTGTGTATGTGACATGGGTAGAGTCCGTGGTGGTTCGATCTGAACGTTGGTGTACTCTCCTTGACCTGTGTATATGTGACATGGGTAGAGTCCGTGGTGGTTCGATCTGAACGTTGGTGTACTCTCCTTGACCTGTGTGTATGTGACATGGGTAGAGTGTCCGTGGTAGCTCGATCTGAACGTTGGTGTACTCTCCTTGACCTGTGTGTATGTGACATGGGTAGAGTACGTAGTGGTTCGATCTGAACGTTGGTGTACTCGCCTTGATTTGTGTGTATGTGACATGGGTAGAGTCCGTGGTTGTTCGATCTGAACGCTGGTGTACCCTCCTTGACCTGTGTGTATGTGACATGAGTAGAGTGTCCGTGGTTGTTCGATCTGAACGCTGGTGTACCCTCATTGACCTGTGTGTCTGTGACATGGGTAGAGTGTCCGTGGTAGCTCGATCTGAACGCTGGTGTACTCTACTTGACCTGTGTATATATGACATGGGTAGTGCCTGTGGTTGCTCGTTCCAAACGTTGGTGTACCCTCCTTGACCTGTGTAAATGTGACATGGGTAGAGTGTCCGTGTGGTTCGATCTTAACGTTGGTTTACGCGCCAAGACCTGTTTCCAACACCGTCGTTCTGCTCGTAACCTCCCATGACCCAGTTCATTGTGTTCATCTACCAACGGATTAGTTTTACAGATGAAGACAGGCACATACCTGTGGTAGTTTCACAGATGAGGAATACATACCTGTGGTAGTTTCACACATGGGGACAGGTACATATCTGTGATAGTTTCACAGATGGGGACAGGTACATATCTGTGATAGTTTCGAAGATGAAGACAAGTTCATCTCTGTGATAGTTTTACAGATGAAGATAGGCACATACCTGTGATAGTTTCACAGATGAGGAATACATATCTGTGATAGTTTCACAGAGCGAGACAAGTACCCCCTGTGAAATTTTCACAGATGGAGACACGTACATACCTGTGATAGTTTCACAGATGAGGACAAGTACATATATGTGATAGTTTCACAGATGAGGACAGGTACATATATGTGATAGTTTCACAGATGAGGACATGTACATATCTGTGATAGTTTCACAGATGAGGACGGGTACATATCTGTGATAGTTTCACAGATGAAGACATGTACATACCTGTGATAGTTTCACAGATGAGGACATGTATATATATCTGTGATAGTTTCACAGATGAGGACAGGTACATATCTGTGATAGTTTCACAGATGAGGACAAGTACATGCCTGTGATAGTTTCACAGATGGAGACAAGTACATACCTGTGATAGTTTCACAGATGGAGAGACTTACATACCTGTGATAGTTTCACAGATGGAGACAAGTACATACCTGTGATAGTTTCACAGATGAGGACAAGTACATACCTGTGATAGTTTCACAGATGGAGACAAGTACATACCTGTGATAGTTTCACAGATGGAGACACGTACATACCTGTGATAGTTTCACAGATGAGGACATGTACATATCTGTGATAGTTTCACAGATGAGGACAGGTATATATCTGTGATAGTTTCACGGCTATTAAATACACACCTCCGTCCTGACTGGGAGACTACCAGCAGGGGTGGGAGCATGGCATTTGTCTGGACTGGATCAGGTCCCAGGAGCAGCCCGTTGGTACCGTACACTCTCTGTAACGGTTCTGGGTCATATAGCCACTGCACGTCGCTGAGCACGGGGACACTCCAGCCCACACTGTCCACTCGCCAACATCTGAAGCAAAATGTATTCTTTTATAGATTGATTTACATTTATGCAAATTCAAAATAATTCTGGTGTAACGCTCACCTTTTGTGTTATCGGCAATGGCCGTTCGTGATGTGATGGATTTTATTTTTTCAATATTTTGTAAATACCAGAATATGAGTGTGTATATATCACAAACTTAGTAACGACGTGAGACAGGTACCAGCCGTTAAGATCCTTAAAAAATATAAGAGCACCTAATAAATCATACTTATCATAAGTTTTTGCTTCGTCATTGACATTTTTTAACCAAATAAAATACTCAATGGCCTGGTTTGTTAATGTTAAGGACATCCTCTTTCATCCAGGGTATTGTATCTACATTCCATTTCTGATAAACACCCTCGACTCATTCACCACCACAGCTACGTCACCGGCCCTATCACTAACACCGCACTCATTTTCTCTCATTTTAGAGACGTTAAAGACAACTTTTAATAGCGTGCAATTGGAATCAGGATGAAAACACGAAAGCATGGGGCCAAATGGGTTCAGGGTTTACATCGTAATAGAATGGACATTTGATACACTGGATAAAGCGTAGATACAATTGTTCGGGCAGGGTAATGACTTTACTGAGAAAGAAATTAATTAAATGGCCGAGTCCACGTTTAGCTGACCTACAGGATAGTACAGCAACATCTGAATCTCACCCTCATCACAAGCGCATCCTGGAATGTTGCAGGTTGCCGATCTCTGCTCCTCCAGTGGGCCGTTACAGTCACTGGTAGCACAGTCAAGACGCTCTCTGGTCCGCTTCTCTACCGTCACGCCCTCCCCACACGTGACCGAACACGTCCCTGGCTCCCAGCAGGTCCACGGGCCGTAGCATTCTGACAGGAGAAAGAAGGGAGTAATGAGGCAGGAAACATCGAACCCCGGACCTTCCGCTTTCCGGGCGGACGCTCTACCACTAGACCACGGAGGCGGTCTGACAGGAGAAAGAAGGGAGTCATGAGGCAGGTAGCATGCACTGAGTGAGGTAGTATTGTTTTACGCCGCTTTTAGCAATATTCCAGTAATATCACGGCGGGGGACACAAGAAATGGGTTTCACATATCATGCCCAGGTTGGGTCGTTGGTTCACATATACCACATACTCGTTTATCTATAAATAAAAGTTAAGGATATTTCGGAACTCTTAGAAAACTGTGACACACCTGCCCCCTAATTCTGAGCGAGAGAGTGAGATGAGTGAGGTTTTACGCCGCTTTCAGCAGTATTCCAGTCAGATCACATCGTGGGCTTTTCACATTGTGCCCATGTAGGAAACAAACCCGGTTCATCGACGTGACGAGCGAACGCTTTAACCGCTAGGCTACCCAACCGCCCCAGCATGCACTGACTAAATACTCACGGGTTACTGGCCCACCAATGAAAACTGACAGACTGCTACAGAAAACACTCATTTGTCTACAGTAAACAAGGAATCGGCAACAGAAAACGTAACCAGAAACTAATATTATTATACACATCGAAATATTCTGAATAAGCGTTGTGAGATTTAAATTCACTCGCTGTTTGCTGATCCTCGTGACATGACGGTCAACTAGTACTTCCTTCTTGTTCTGCGCATGCTCAGTATGAAGGCCGCGGTCTGTGTGTTATAGTGTTGTATTTTCATGTTTTCGGCAGCCTGCTCTCATATTTATGACACTGTTTCTTAGTTTTTGGTGACGTTCTCAATATCTTTTGTTGCCGATTCCTTGTGTATTGTAGACACAAGGCAGTTTTCTGTTGTAGTCTGTTAGCTTTCATTGGCTGGCCCGGATTAAAAGGGACAACATAATTAGTATGCTTGTCACGAAGGAAATACGGTATGATGTACAGAGAACAGAATTGTGTTGTATTAATTGATCTTGTTATTTGTAGGGCCATGTTGGTTGATAGATACAAATATACACGTGCGTTTATTTACATTCAGGAAACGGCTCTCTTGACTGCAACAACCGATCGTTTGAGCCATCACTAGACTTGACTTTCCAAAACTACATTCAGTGGAATATCCATTTTATCAAAGTGATTATCGAATCACAAAAACAAATTAATTAATAATCTGTTATACACACACACACACACACACACACACACACACACACACACACACACACACACACACACACACACACACACACACACATATATATATATATATATGCGGACACTTTAGTGTACATATATATGCAAAATTAACAAATTTGTTTGTGACAGACCACGGTAGCTCATACTTCAATAAAGACAACAAATATATAAGGAAATGTCGTACTTTCGTTTGTATGTTGTAGTGAAATATATTCTATTGCTCGCGGGTGAAGCAGTGACTTATATGGAGACATTCCAGTTCTATAACTAGCGCTGTAACATTGTTGTTAAACACCACAATTAGGGTCGTGGTAAATATAAAGTGGTTATATATTGTAACCGGATTTAATTGGTATAAATATATATTTGGGTGATTTTCTGGTTTCTAAGATACCCCTACACAAACACCTGTGTTATGCCAGATCCGTGTCACACAGAGATAACTGAACAAAGAAATACAGGCTGCTGGAAGAAAAATGGATTCTTCAATAAAACTCATGAAAATATATATTATGAAAAATAACCGAGCGCTGCAGTACAACCTACATTAAATTTACTATAGGATACGGTAAGAATAAGAGTTATCGTTCTTGTTTGAAGTCATTCGTCACCACTCGCCCCTTTCCGTAACCTGCAAGAAGACTCGCCCCCTGTCGATGAAGGTTGTGTGCAAAAATACGACAAACCAATCAGAATGCGCGTATGATTTCAAGTTCTTCGTCAAAGAATCCCGCAGATTTTTTTATTTTACTTATGTCTTGCATCAAAAAATATACCCAAAACACAGTTAAATGTGTTCAAGCATACTGTATAATTTCGCATGTCCCCATGTGCTTTAAATTGCATCTGAAATAAACTGGGCGGCAAAAGAAAGTATAGGTCGAGTTCCATGATCGATAAAAAAAATAACGAGAAGACGATTTGTTGTGAATTATAATATAATCTAGGGAGGGGTAACAAATGATTGATCAACCACAGTTTGAATGAAATTGTGCAATCACAGGTAATTTAGCTCAAGGTAAACAATGGTGGGGTAAGAAATTTCATTTTTAAAAGTTCTCTGAAATTTTACCAAAACATTGTCAGACACATTACAAGTTCATTGTCGAAACAGTTGCCTTCAATAGCGTGTATGACCTCCAGATGCCTCAATGCATGCTGTGATACGCCGCTTCATCGATGACGTCAGGCTTCTGATGACGTGGACTGGAATCCGTTGCCACTCGTCTCTCAGGGCCTGCTGCAATTCTTGTCTGTTGACGGGAGACTGATGGCGTGCTCTAATCTGTCTGTCAAGAGGGTCCCACAAATGTTCAATAGGATTCATATCGGGTGAGTGGGCAGGCCAGGGCAAAACGTCAACGTTCTGCTCGTTTAGAAAGTTCCGAGTGAATCTTGCAGTATGGGGCCTGGCATTGTCGTGTTGAAATAATGTCCCCTGCTGTTGGTTTTTTAAGAACCGAAACACAACTGACTGCAACACTTGGTCTCTGTACTGCACATCGTTCAGGTTTCCCTGTATAATCACCAAATCAGTCTTCTGATCTCCACAAATACCGCCCCACACCAAGACACCTCTCCTGCCGAATGGATGGACCTCTCGAATACACGCCGATGCCAAATGTTTCCCTCTGCGTCGATAAACTCGTTCTCTGCCGTCATTTCGAAACAAGTTAATTCGACTTTCATCAGTAAACAGCACTCGACGCCAATTTCTCACTTGCCAGCATCGAAAATGCCTCGCCCATCGCAGTCTCAGGCGTCGATGTTGAGCAGTCAGTACCATTCCTCGGAAAGGACGATACGCTCGGAGTCCAGCAGCACGTAGTCGTCGTAGTACTGTACGTTGGCTAATGGGATGTCCCAACGCTGTTGCTGCCGTTGCCGTTGCCGTTTCGCAGGTGAATGAGCCGTATCTGACCGTCTTCCAGTGGTGTTGTCACTCGGGGTCGTCCTGTTCTAGGCCTGTCCTGTGTCCTCCCTGTCTGCCTCTACCGTTGAATCAGCCTGGCTACTGTCAATGGTGTACAACCAAACCTTCTGGCAATTTGGACCTGTGTTAACCCCATTTCGGCCATACCGATGGCTCTCTCTCTCTCTCTGCTCCTGTGACAGTCGTGGCATTTCTTTTGTGTGTTTTCATCACGTGTGGTTATACCCTGCATACGAACGCATTAATACAGCTAACATGCACGTGCAGTTTATGCCATAGGCGGGAAACCTGTTTCACCATTATTTTGTCACCGCACGAGCGCCGTCAAAGGTGGCGTGTTCGGGTGAGGTGCTTTTTGGTACCTGTTCCTGGGCAGTCATATTTCCAATACCCACTTTCCACTAGTTATCGCTGTTTTTAGGAAAATTACAAATTGCCAACCTATACTTTCTTTTGCCTCTTAGTTTATATATAACATATTGGGAAATATGTGTGAAGCATTTCGCGACGAGTTGACAATTGTTTTAGGTATGCCCGTTTGCGCTAAGACGGAACCCGGTTGCAAAAATGGCCACGAGAGTGGCACGACTAGCTATTCGGCTTGTCCCGGAATAACACGAGTTGGTCACGAATGTTTTGAAGTAGTTCATTCGCCAATACGGAAAGGGGCACGAGTCTACAATCGGCTTGTCCCGGAATGGGGCGAGTTGGTCACGAATAGGCGGGATATATTTGGTTCTAGTTGTAAACGGCTGTTGCGGGAAAATGTATCAAAACGCCATCGTCCAAATGAATTGAAGTATTTCATATGTAAGGTGAGCTGTTCCTGTATCCGTTTTTAGCTTCAGTATACGGTGATTTGCTACGCACGTGTTTCATAAACTTGGACCGCTTACATAATCAGCTAGCGACTGTGTTTCGTGTATTTTAAGCCCTAAATCCCCAGCGGGAATTCCGGGTTAGAATATGTGTGTCGCATCAGACGATTGAATTGACCTGGCGGCCAGGCTCGGAGACTTGGTTCATTGTGTGCACCAAACCCTGACGTTGCACATACTATCAATCACTGGTTTGTTGGGTCAAGACTCAACTATTTACCGCCGTCATATGGCTGGAGTATTGTTGGCAGCGGTGTTAAACAACACACAAATACAATCCAGACTTTCTTAAGAGCGCGATGCACAAAGACACATGCATGGCGGTACACCGATTAGATCCATGGCATTGCATGCCAAATTCATCATTAACGAATCACCGAAAACGAATGTCATACATTTCACCATTTGTGGAACTGTTTTCACAGTACTTTACTGCAAATACTGTGTGTGAGAGTAATAATGATCCGTATATCCTTATGCCCCGTACCCCTTATATGTCCGATGAGACCGCCTCCGTGCTTTAGTGGTAGAGCGTCCGCTCGGGTTCGATCCCCGGCCGCGTCATACCAAAAGACGTTAAAAGATGGTACTTGTTGTTACCCTGTCTGGCGCTCGGCATTAAGGGGCTGAAACAAGGACTAGTCGGCTCTGAGTCAGTATACTGTGTCTGAGTGGGGTATTCATGTCAAACTGCGGCATGGTATCTCAGTGAGCTAGCACTATGAATCGGCATCAGTCCGGACTAGTTCTAGTACAAGCAGCCACACAAACACGCACACGTACATGCACGTCGCTATATAAGTGCAATAATCTTGGACGCGACGTTAAACCCCATTTCACCTCACCTCACCTTAAATCCGATGATCCTATTCCCTTATGATTCTTACGCCATTGTGCCCTTATGGTGTATGTCCTTGTGTTCTTTTGTCCTTATTATCCTTGTGACATTTACGTCATTAAGGTCTTTATGTCATTATGATCCTAATGTCATATGACCCATCGGTTCTATTATCCTTATTTCCGTGTGGCACTTATGTCCTTAAGGTCCACATGTCATATGAGCCTATGGTTCTATTATCCGAATGTTCTTATGGTTCTTACGTCCTCAATATGCTTAAGTGCCTCTGATTTATATGCAGTTATCGTCATTGTGGTCTTTTTATTCTTATGTCCTCGTGAAACATGTTCTTATGGATCGTATGTCCCCTTGATATTTGTCTTCATGATCCTTATGTTTATGATCTTTACGTCCTTATGGTTATTGTGCCCTTATGATCTGTATGGCCTAATGATTTATATTTCCTTGAAATCTAACGTCCTTATGGCTCCTATATCATACATGACCTTGACGTCAAAGTGGTTCTTTGTCTATTATCCTTGTGCCCTTATCATTGTTGGGTCATTATGTCCTCCAGGGCCCACTTGCACAAAACGATCTTAGCGCTAAGACTAGTGTAGGCCTAGGTTAAAGTATGGGAGTTAAGATCATCTTAGCGCTAAGATCGCTTTGTGCAAGTGGGCCCTGGTCCTTATGTCCTTAATCTGTATTTTATGTCCCATGTCCTTATGATCGCTATATCCTGTTTTTCTTAGAGACCGACTATTTTATTTTTATTTTTGGGTCAAGCAATTTCTTTTTGTTTTTAAGCATAATTATTTTTTCAAGAATTTTCGGGGACAATTTACCTTTTTTCACACTTATGTTTTTATGCTTTGAATATCCTTATCATTCGTATGACCTTGTGGTCCTTACTTCATATTTGATCCTTGCGTCTTTCTTATTCTTATGTCCGCATAATATTTACGTCCTGGTGTTTCCCTTTATGATTCTTATGTTTTTATGTCATCTCTCTCTCTCACACACACACGCGCGCACACGCACACGTGCATGCACGTTGCTATTTAACTTCAATAACCTTGAATGCGACATTAAATCTAATTTCAACTCACCTCACCTTGTGTCGAGTGATCCTCACGTCGTTATAATTGTTATGTTTTGTTATGTTTATGTCCTTTATATTTCCATTCGATACGTACTTCAAAATGGTTCTTTGCCATTATGAGTCTTAAAGTCCTTGTGGGAGATTGGGTAGCTAAGTGGTGAAAGCGTTCGCTCGTCACGTCGAAGGCCATGGTTCGATTCCACATATGAGCACAATGTGTGAAGTCCATTTTTTGGTGTCCCCCGCTGTGGTATTCCTGGAATATTGCTAAAGGCGGCGTAATGCCATACTCACTCACTTACGTCCTTATGGTCCCATGATCCTATTGTCCTTATGATCCTGTGTGATTTCTATACCCTTACATCCTCATGTCCTATTGTAGTTATCTCCGTATGCTGTTTGTTCTTGTGATTCGTATGTGCATATGACCTTTATATCCTAAGGATCAGTATGTCTTCATGGTCTATATGTCCTTGAACCTTACATCACCATGTCCGATAATACTTATGTCCTTATGCTGCTTATATCATTGTGATGCGTACGTCCTTGTGGTCCCAACATCCTTATCACCCTAATGTCCATATGAATTTATGTTCTTACCCCTAGAACGGTTAAAGGTTTGTCAGCACCAAACCCGTGACCATGGATTTCACCAAAGTGCTAAGCGTCTAAGACCTGCATCACTTCGGTCTTTCTTTCCACATCAACCTGACACGCACTGGAATACTGTTCCAAGCTGTGTTTAGCCAACCTTACTCACTCACTCACTCCTGTACCTGTACTTTATGTCCTTAAGATGATTATGTCTTCATGATCCTGGAATCTATTATGCTTACATCTTTTCGTCTTTCATATGTCCTAACGTCCTATAATCCTTATGTTCTCATTATCCTTAACATCATAATGTCCTTCTTATCCTATGTCCTCGTGATTCTTATGTCATATTATCCCCTTATGTCCTAATTGGTGTTTTCACTCTTTGTGATTTTTGTGTTTTCATGAACCTTGTCTTTGTGATTCTTTTTACGTTATTTCCCCCTGAGCCTTATGTTCTGATAATTCTAAGGTCTTATAATCGTATGTCCTTATTCTCTCGCGACGCTGGGGCGGTCGGGTAGCCTAGTAGTTAAAGCGTTCGCTCGTCACGCCGAAGACCCGGGTTCGATTCCCATTTGTGGTGTCCCCCGCCGTGATATTGCTGGAATATTGCTAAAAGCGGCGTAAAACCATACTCACTCACTCTCGCGACGCTTGTCCCTCAGGGTTTAATGTCATCGTGATCGTTCCATCCATCTGTCCATATGAAGCTATCATCCTCATGGCTTCATGATCCTTATGTACTTCTGATTCTTTTGACCCTCTGTCCTTATCATTGTTACATTTTATATCCTTATGCCTTTATGTCCTTACAATGCTTGTGCTGTTTGTGGTATGGTTTGACTAGTTTACCTCAATTGCCTATTAAATATAGGACAAATCAGTACCCGACTGTGCTGTCCACGCTGTCCATGATGGTGCCGTCCATGCTGTCCACGACGATGCCGTCCAGGCTGCCCATGGAGCTGGTGACGTCCATGCGGTGGAAGACATGGGACGTGTTGCAGTCGTCGCTGTCGAAACAATCGAGCGATACAAAAGTAAACTGAACTGTCATAGTGATGCAATTTATAAGTTTGTGCTTAATAATAAGTGACTCGATACCGACTTTCGTTTTGTGCCTTTTCATTTCAAACCCAGTGGCCATTCCAGGGTACAATAAATCCCCATAATAACCTATGCTCATCTTAAGAAACAGCTACATGGCATGTAACACATGCAAATAACGACGGAAATTACAGAATATCGCTTAGTTAAAATATTTCATTTGCTGCTCTTTCTAGAAATAAATGCATTTTAAAAATTCAATGTATCCTGGAGCAAACACTTGTTGCATATGAAATGGCAATGGAAACTTACGGGGTTTTTTTTATTGTACGGTATGTAAAAAGGTAGATAGTAAAAAAAATACAATTCAAAAAATAAATGTTACCAACCAAAAGAAGTAACCACGTGCGTGCTAAAACACACCATGCTATCAAAAGGTTACTCTTCACCTACCTGAGAAGACAAAATAATCACGTCTATGCAGTGTGCTCGGATATTTTTTAAAAATACGTATGTGAATTCCACTTTGATCCAACATAATCAAACAATAGGTTAAGCTTCAAAAAGGGCATCCATTTAGAACCATCTCTTTCGCAGGCTTGGGGAAGACGTCATATCATGAACTCGCTTGGACCTAGCACTCGTTAGGTATTAATATATAAAGGTTTAATACAGACTTGAAAATGTTAGAGTTGTTGGTGCATCAAGGTCGCTTTATAAAACAGGGACATCGCATAATGTACATAATGTAACTCTACATCAGCACGTGTACTTACCCTGCACGTGGGAAAGGCGTACCCCGAGTGCCAGCAGAGAGAAGTACAAAGTATGCATGGTTCGTATCTGGAAAGCGTAAGAAAGTATCACTTTTACATCGTTATTAATATTAAACTGTAGTTAGTATTCCAAAGAATCCTAAAAAAACATTCTAAATTCACTTAAAACATTGTAAAGATAAATTTCGTCAGATTTTGTCATTCTGAAATACATACTCCAAGAACCTTTCGGAAGAACTATCCTTGATGGCGCAAACGGAAAAATATATTTTTCAGTCTTTATGAAAGGTATTGTGTAGGAATATCTTAACAATCAATGTATTTGACATCAAGAAACAATATTTCACTATTGATTTCACAGTGACATCAATAGCAACCTGTTAAAGTTTGACTTATTTGGCTTTAGAATAAAGCCTGCCATCTGTTTGTCTAAAGCTACGTGTTTCGTCGTCACATGGCTTAGACTGTTGAAGTTACTGAAGCTCACCTTGTCGGTTGAAATGAACACAAGTGACAACAAGGCGGGGGTGTACAAAATGGGATATAAAGAATCATTTATTTTGCACTCTTTGTAAACGAGAAAAACAAACCTTAGCGCACATGTTCTTTGAGTGTGAAGTTATAAAACATGTCTGGAACAACCTTGAAAATGGATCAAAGACAAAACTGGAACAGAACTTGAATTTTCAAAATTAACAATTTTATTAGTATATCAACAAAAAGGAAATGATGTATCAAATCATATCATACTTCTAACAAAGCAAAACATATTCAAATCAAACATTTCCGACTCCATACAAATTTTCAAACACATAAAACAAGAAATAACCGATTCATATTACATCGACAGAAATATATCATATTCACAATGTAAATACACACAGTTCATGAAAGTTTGGTCAATCTGTCACCACCACGAACTTGCAGAGTTCAATAATGATGCCTTAGCATCCAGACATTGGAACTGTTATGTTTGATATTATCCACAGATATACTTTGAAATTTGTATTGATTTAAGATTGCATGTGAACTATATTCTGTTAACTTATTGTTTGTGTACCCAAAAAAGAAATAAAATCATAACGAAACACGGGAGGCGGGGCACGGAGGCAATCTCTCATTCGTCACAATTTACCGTGCGGAGTTGCGTCCCTTTTGTGTGTCAGATGACCATAGTTTCAATCGATTATGTTTCTAGGTTGTCAGCACCGTACCCGTGCCTACCTTTTCGCGAACATCTGGTGTCATCACTGATTTTCACGGCTATTTTGGCATTTACACCAATTTTAATTTTTTTTTTTCTCTTGCATTGACAGTTTATATTTACATCAAAGTGGTAAATCTCTAAGATCTGGCTGCTTGGGGCTATCCTCCAACGTCAAGCTGACACGCAGTGAAACCAATTTGGTTCACTCAAATTTAAGCAAATGTGACAAACACCCAGTTTAGTTATTCCAAGTGACATTTTTATTTATTTATTTATTTATTATGAATTACCGTGAAATTATGATACCATTTGATTATGAAATACTCATGTTATATACTCTCATAACATTAGTGGAGACATCCCGGTGGTGTCCTAGTGATACAAGGCCCTGAAATAGTTGTTTAGAGTTGCGTCCCCTTGCTGTTGTGTCCGTGGGGCGTGGGTTCGAATCCATGAATCTACTACTAGTGTAAACACGTTCGATATGTGACGCAGTTGCCTGAAGTGAAGCAATTCTATCAATTTTAGTAAACAAGAATCTCTTCTAAAAGAAGATCCCATTGTACGATTGTAACTGTATGATAAGCATTTGTATATGAATCACTATCCAAACCATCTTCCCGAGGCAAAGGAGCTAACTGACTTTAAAAGTCCAGTTTCCACACTTGCCGAACTTGGTTGGAATTCCTAGGCTCGATCGTAGAGCCACCAGTGGCTATTACGAGTTATGTAACTTCTATGCCTCTCCTATGGACCAATCAGATTCCACCTCTCGTATCACTTGCATTTGCTTCAAACAAAATGGCGGCGCCCGGTCAAGACGATCTGATCGATAATCAGGATCTATATTGTGATAAAACGGACCTCACATCGGCAAGTGCATCAAATCACATGAGCGCCTTGATTAAAGACATGAAAAGATTGGGAAAATATCTGTTGACAACGAGTTGGCGGTGCACATGCTTTGCAAATCCTGCAATCGATCGAAATCTGCATGTTTACGAACCGTATTTTGATTTCGTTGCGCGATTGTGAGTGGAGTTTGCATAGATTCGTTAGTCCAGCCAAAAGCTAACTCCATAATACCAGCCTAGTTCGGCAAGGGTGGAAACTGGACTTTTATAGTCAGTTAATTCATTTGCCTCGGAAAGATGTATAAGATAAGCTTATCCTGCCCTACCTGTGGCACCCGTGACCAACACATGCAAAGGCAAGTCAACTGTTCACCTGAAAAACACACGGGAACATGTCTCCACATGTCTACCATAACACCGTATGGAAAGCTGTCGTGAGGCCTTGAATGTTGTAACCTTGATCAAAGAAACTTTTGAGCAATAGTCGTATGACGCTCTTAGAAATCTTGGTAGAAAGAGCATGCTCGAATGTATCTCAAATGTTAACGCCGCTATGAACAGTATTCCAGTTCACGACGTGTCAGCTTGATGTGGGAGGAAAGCCCGAAGTGATGCAAGTCTTAGACGTTTACCACTTTGGTAAAACCAACGAGCACGGGTACGATGCTGAAAAACAATCAGGGCGAACCACGATTTGCAGCAACTATCAGAGTATCCTGGCGTGACCAAGAGACGCAACACTACACAGCGAATTGCGGCGCCTTAGTTCATTGGCCCACCACGAATATGAATAATATTAGTTATTCCCGATCTAATTTCATATTAAGATATGTGCATAAAGATTCAATGACACAAAAACTCTCCACAATACTGTATGACAAGAGGGATGACACCAACTTCCTAATAGTTAACTTTCCCTTCGAGCGGTATTCCAACTATTGAGGTACAATCGAGCATGCTCTTTCTTCCAAGATTTCAAAGAGTGTCATACGACTTTTGCTCACAATATTCAAAGCCCAAAGCTTTCCAAACGTTTTATGGTAGACATTTTCCAGATGTGACGTATCCGTGCCAAAAATGGTGTCAGAAGCAATTCCAAATATGATCTTGTACCATATGTATCCATGTTTTGTTTTAGGTGAACGATTGACTTGCCTTTGCATGTGTTTGTGACGGGTGGCATCTGGTGTCATCACTTTTTAATCATGATTAATAAGCACATATTTATGATTCATTTGGGATCGTACAATGGACTCTTCTTTTGGCAGAGATTCTTATGAATATGGAAAGGTTTTTGTCGCTTTACTTAAGCATTTATTTTACTTAGCGACCGAACATTATTATGTAAGCGTTTTTCCATTGTGAGAAAGAGACAAACATTTTTAAATACCTACATCCTGGGGGTTTTCAGCACCCAACACCCAACTTACCCCCATCTACGACCATCAGATCCTTGCATGACTAAGGGAAGTTACTCCACCGTGCCCAAAAAACTCACTATTATCAAATAACTGAAGAGTCGGAAATCTGTTCTGAATACACAGCACATCAGATATATGAGAAATATTTGTCGCAACAATATTCTGAATAGGATTATTAATAAAACGAAATAAACACGTTCTTTCCCTAATAAAATTATATTCGGTTTAGAAACACTTCATATTGTAAAATATTTTCCTTGGGGATCATTGTCAAATGTGAACCTATTTCATGAACATTTTTGTGACGAAATCAACATGAAATATATCGATTCGTGTATATAAGCCCACGTGTATCACGTATGACGTTATATCAATAACACACTAAACTGGAGATTAAGATTAAATACCTGAATTAGTAAACGCCCTCGTTGTAAATATGTCAATAGAAAACATGGAAGGTACTGCAGCTCACTCAACTGCTCTGACTGGACAACACATGCGCGAACCTTAAAGGTAATGAGTGAGTGAATGCTGTAGTCCGCCGCAGTCAGGATTACTCCTGTTATATCACGTCTACGTGTACATAACCTTGGTCAGGTAAACCTGTGGCATCTTCCCGGGGCAAGAGAGTTAACTGACTATAAAAGTCCAGTTTCCACCCTTGCCGAACTAGGTTGGTATTATGGAGTTACATTTTGGCTGGAGTAACGAGTCTATGCATAGTCCAATCACAATCGCGCACCGAAATCGAAAACCGGTTCGCAAACTGTCGTGCAGATTTCGGTCGATTGCAGGATTTGCAAAGCATGTGCACCGCCAACTCGTTGTCAACAAATATTTTTCAAATCTTTTCATGTTTTTATGTTCGCGTGATTTGATGCACTTCGTGATGTAAAACCCGTTGTATCACAATATAGATCTTCATTATCGATCAGATCGTCTTGACCGGGCGCCGCAATTTCGTTTGAAACAAATGCAAGTGGTACGAGAGGTGGAATCTGATTGGTCCATAGGAGAGGTTTAGAATGGACATAACTTGTAATAACCACTGGATGCGCTACGATTGAGCCTAGGAATTCCAGCCTAATTCGGCAAGGGTGGAAACTGGACTTTAAAGACAGTTAACTCTCTTGCCTCGGGAAGATGAACCAGTGGTTGCCAGCATGAGAAACAACAATGACAACCAGGTCACGCATTGTAACCACATCATTAGTCGTTTCATAATTACAAGCTTGGATTGCAGGGACACTGGTCAGGATAGACAGGTCGTGGGCTCGAAATCGAAATTCGCCTTGACTTCAATTTTCTTCAACTCCATACTGCTGTTGGTGAGTTGACCCGAGAGGTGTTAAAGGCCTACCGGCTGATGGTAGACACAACGTGGGTTCGAGTCCCAGACTCCTCATGGTTTTGATTCTTGTTTTATTTAGCTCCATACCAATGTTCATGATTTGTCATTTAACGCCGCACTCAGCAATATTACAGCTATATGACGGCGGTCTGTATATAATCGAGTTTGGAACAGATGCAATTGGGATGCGGTGACATGCATCAACCAAGTCAGCGAGCCTGACCAACCGATCCCGTTATTCGCCACTTTCGACAAGCATAGTCGCCTTTTCCGGCAAGCATGGGATGCTGAAGACCTATTCTACCCCAGATCTTCACGGGTTCAAATTATAAGTTAAAGTTAAAATATAAATGACAAAAAACTTTCTAAGAATATTCAGTTTAAAATAGTTAATTACATCTGACATCATGTTTGTCACTGATGCCTCAAATT